CACTTCCCGATCCCTCCCTTTACAGGTCCATAGTTGGAGCTTTGCAGTATCTCACATTCACCCGACCTGATATCACTTATGCCGTTCAGCAGCTCTGCCTTCACCTGCATGCGCCTCGCGACTCTCACCTCACGGCCATGAAGCGCGTCCTCCGTTACCTCAGCGGCACCGCCACCCACGGCATCTACTTGACCCGCTCCATGACTGACTATCTTCACGCGTACTCTGACGCTGATTGGGCTGGATGTCCTGACACCCACGTTCTACTTCCGGGTACTGTATTTTTCTGGGTGACAACCTAATTTCATGGTCATCAAAACGTCAGGCTACCACGTCACGGTCCAGTGCAGAGGCAGAATATCGAGATGTGGCCAATGCTGTTGCAGAGACATCCTGGATTCGGAATCTACTCCTAGAGCTCCGACAACCCCTACGGCGTGCCACCCTTGTCTTCTGTGATAATGTCAGTGCCGTCTACCTCTCATCAAATCCGGTTCAGCACCAGCGCACCAAGCACGTTGAGGTCGACATCCACTTCGTGCGAGATAAAGTCGCACTCGGCCACATAAGAGTTCTTCACGTGCCTTCCTCCTCCCAGTATGCTGACATCTTCACCAAGGGAGTGCCTTCTTTGCTCTTCCTCGAGTTCAAGTCTAGTCTGGGTATCAGACCACCTCCACACCTGACGTAGCCGGGAGCATGTTAAATATATTCTATATTTAATGTAAATATATTGTTTCCTATTATTGACTCCTACTTTGTATAGGAATAGGAATCTCATGTCTATATAAAGACATGTACTCCCACATATTCTTTTAATGAAAATAATCTTTCTACAGTGGCATTGTCAGTATTTTCTTTGAGAAATCAAACAGAGATCCTTTTGGAGTTGATACAATCGTGCACTATTAGATTGTCCAAATCTTTCATCAAGTTCACTCCAAATTTCAGCCACAATATTTGCATGCAGAATACTATCTCCTATTTCTTTGCTTATTAGAACATTCAAAATCCACAATGTAAGCATATCATTACATTGCTACGAAACGAGAAGCTGAGCAAGATTGTTAGGTTTCTAAATTGAACCATTCATAAAACGTAATTTGTTCTTGGCACATAGGGCAGTTGTCATCAATTTCTGCCAAGATCCAAATCTATTTCCATCAAATTTGTTCGAGGTATGAACTAAACTTGGATAATCTGACAGATGAAGGTAATATGGATCAAAAGGATCATTTCTCCCTAAATTTCATGTGTTGTTGTCTGCCATTGAAGCCAAAGATGAATATCGAAATAGAAGAGAAAAAGAAGGGATTAAATTACTTCTTCAATACCATGTTGGAATTTACACAAATGAAAGAGAAAATGAAAGAACTCATTCTTATTTATTTAACAATGGCTTCTATATAAATCTATATAAACTTGTACACCTCGGAACAGGAAACAAGGCACTAGTATTGTAACACCGCACCCTGTATGACCCGAGTCATCAAGACTAGAATGCTAGTAAAACCGGGTTACTTTGTAAAATATCATTTTTCCGAAATATACTTTCTTTTTGATAGCTAAAGAGAATTTAAAAAAAAATGTTTTCTGCGTAAACTTAAAGTAAAAACATCCACAGTTAATACAACCTTGGGTTCAAGCCCAAAAATAAAATAAATTTAAGTTCGACGTTTTATTCATTATTAAATATTAGAAAAAAAACTCCTTCGGCACGGCCTCCACGTCCATGCTTTCCTCCTCAGCAGTTGTTTTCCTTGCTAGTACCTGCGTGCAGTTAAATGTACACTACACGCTCAGCATAAGCTGAGTGGCAAATAACCAGTAGACATATATAACATGTGAATATATTTTGGGCCTTTTAATCTATTCAATTTTTTTTTCAAAAAAAAATTCTCGCATAAAAATAAATCATCGAGAAAATAATTTCACTTTGAATAGTTACTTGGGGACATTTCAAAAACTTTTGACTTACTAGGTTAACCACAGATTAGGAACTAAGCCGTAACTAGGCTGGAACACCGCACTAGTCAATTCGTAGTTTTACTTCGGATACCTCCCCGTGACCTCGGGTCCAGTAATCAGAAGTGAACCCTAGACCCACGGGGTCCAGTAAACATTGTGTCTTTAATTATTTACAAGTTCGGCTCAAAATAAAATACAAACCTATTATTATTTATTTAATTCCTTAGGTAGTCACGGCCAACAAACTTTGTTTGTCAAATTATATTTTAAAAATTTATATTTCACTACATATACCAAACCACATGGATAAAAATTATATTATTTAACTTAATTATCCAGTTATACTCATCGGCAATTATGATTTATGATTAATATGTCATGTTTATTATCATTATTATATTTAATAGTAAAACAAGTCATTTTTCATTATCCAAACTAAAATGGAAGCAAAAGCTACACTTTAAAAATAAAATAAAAACATTTGTCATTTCTCTCCCTTTTTTACGTATCTATGTTTTTTTCTTCTTTTGTATAATGTACGTATGTAATACGAAGTTTTTTTATAACAATTGGTAGATATTTATTATTTATAAAAAAAATGCACAAAAATATATTAACATGAAATATATGGCTAAAGATTAGGGTGAACGGCACACCTTTGACATTAGTTAGACGACACAATAAATTGATGAATGACGACGTTGCAAGATGATCGATCTCGTGACAGCATTAATCTCCCACGTCTCTATCTCACTTGGCAAAGCCACAAACCGTTCTTAATCACCTACTCTCTAAATCTATACATCCTTTTCTTCTCTTGATGTGGTCATGAGTTTCTGTTATTATGAGAGTCTATTTATAGTGAGGAAGGAGAATTCTAGAAAGTGAAGGGAAAAGTGAAGAGATAACATATTAACATTAATTAAATAAAATATTAAAGTATAATTGATGGATATCGGATCTGATGGACCCATAATAGCGCAAGATGGATAAGGCCAGGTGGGGGTAACGAGCCGAGCCCGCTACTACACGCATGGCGAATGGGAGAAGAACGGCCCAATCATGGATTAAATCAAGACGGCCCAGTCCAAAGAAGGAACAGGACACGTGGCCCACACCACCAGATTATGGACGAGATGGGAAGAGAACGAGACTGGAAAAAAGGGAATCACAACCCCATGATCTCCATAATTCCTCCCATTATGTATAATTTTAATTACAATGTTAGAAGTACTATAAAAGGGGAAAGAACCCGCCATTGTAAAGGGAGGGGACAACTCAAGCAATTCTGCACTTAATCAAAGAATATTATTATGAGATTATATCTTTCTGATTCATATTACGTTCTTGGTCCGCCATCCGATCGGGTTAATCCCATCATTGGTGCTTTCATTGAGAGTTAACTGTGAGATAAGGCTGTGAGATTATGGCCGGACGAAGGACGAGACGTAACACCGCTACTTCCGCCCAGTCGACGGTGAGGAGTGACCACCCTGAGCAGGGTATGATCGTTCCTGTCAATGGGTTGGAGACAGCGTTGAATAATGTGGCTAACATGATGGCCAACATTATGGAACGATTAGATAAGGCTCTCCCTGGTCCATCCGGTACCCGGGATGTCCCTGCCGGGCAACCCCGCTAGGTCCTGCGTACTGCGAGTTGGCCATGTTCACAGCGGCATTATAGGATGGTCTCCTTCATACTGATCTTACAACTCATCTCCCGGATACCTTTGAAGAAGCAATGGTCCGGGCTGGAAGGTATGTTACCCTGGAGGAAAGGAAGGAGGAGAAGAAAGAGAAGACTCCCAAAGAAGAAGAAAAGGCGGGAAACAAGAAGCCTTTCAAGAACAAAAAGCAGGGCTTCCCGGATGGCCCAAAGGGCACAAACCCTGGGACCTCGGAGAAGCACAAATCTGCCAATCCAGTCTTCACATTGCCGGTGGCTAAGGTCATAGCCCATGTTTCACAGCAGGGACTCATGACTTATCCAACCTATTCTAGAAGGTCTGCAATGTGGAGGACACTGGAAAGTGGTGTGCCTACCACCGCAAGAATGATCACAACACAGAGGATTGCTACACTCTGAAGAATGAGATGGCGAGGCTAATCCGCCGGGGCCATCTGAAGAAGTTTGTACAAGATGTTGACGCGGGAAATCCGGGGAATGCTCAGAATGGGAAGCGTAGAGATAAGGAGGTGGCCCAGGCTGAGGCCCGGGAAAAACGCCACATCAGGCTCGAAGATGAAGAAGAGGACTCTGAGCCCGCAAGGCACCGCCAGAAGAGACACCACGGGTGTAACTTCATCATTGGAGGGAATACTGGCGGAGACTCGGCTACGAGCCGGAAGAAGTGAGCCAACACAGCAATGGTCAATAAGGTGCTGGCCCCGGAAGGTAAGAAGCTGAAAACTGAGCCAATTGTATTTTCTAATGCTGATTTGCCAGAAACAGGGATTCTTACATGGCTCTTGGTCTGACAAGAGATGAGTTGTCACCCACCAAGACTCCGCTGACCGGGTTTGCTGGCGACTCTATTGAGCTGGAAGGGGTAATAACCCTCCCGGTTGAAATAGGGGATACTAAGGCCACCCGGAAGTTGGATATGGAATTCGTTGTAGTGGGGATAATCTCCAATACAAACATCATCCTGGGCCGACCCAGATTGGAAGATCTAGAGTGCGTCATCTCACCTCGTCATCTTTGCATAAAGTTCCCGACTCCCCACGGAGTTGGAATCGCCAGGGGATCCTAGAGAGTGTCCCGGGCGTGGTATTTGAAGGCAACCAAACAGCCTATCAAGTACGACACCCAAGTGGAGGAGGTGACTGCACAGCTCTTAAGGGCCGAGGAGAGACGTCCTAGAGTAGAAGTTGCCAGCGACATTGAAGAAGTAGAACTGGAGCCGGGCACGCCGGGGAGGTTGGTCAAAATTGGAAAGGGCCTGGGGGCTGAACTCAAGGCACGAGTGATCTCAGTCCTTAGAAGGTTCAGGAAAGTCTTTGCATGGAGTCCAGCTGATATTCCAGGGCTGGATCATAAGATTGCAGTCCATCGCCTTAATGTCGCAGGAAAGGAGAGATTTTGTGAAGAAGGAGGTAGCAACCTTGCAGAGCATTGGACATATCCGGGAGGTGCACTACCCGGATTGGTTGGCGAATGTAGTTCTGGCGCCTAAGCCCCCTTCGTGGAGAATGTGCGTCGATTACACGGATTTGAACAAGGCATGCCCAATGGATCGGTTCCCACTCCCCAACATTGACCAGATGGTGGATGAGACTGCCGGATCTGAGTTAATGAGCTTCATGGACGCTTTCAGTGGCTACCATCAGATTCGGATGCACCTGGCTAATGTGGAGAAGACCAGTTTTATGACCCCGAAGGGGCTATACTGTTACTTAGTAATGGCATTCGGACTGAGAAACTCCGGTGCAACATACACCCAGATGGTTTCTCAGGTTTTCAAAGCAGTCTTGGGGCGAACCATGGAGGCATATGTTGATGACATGATTGTCAAGTCCAAAGAGGCCCGAGACCATGTTCGGGACCTTGAGGAGGTCTTTGAAATCATGATGAAGGTAAATTTGAGATTGAATCCGAAGAAATGTACCTTTGCTGTTCAGGATGGAAAATTCCTCGGGCACATGGTTAGCCGGAGAGGAATTGAAGCAAATCCGGAAAGGTTAGGGCCATTATGGAGATGGAACCACCGAAGACGGCGAAGGAAGTCCAGCGGCTGACGGAGAGACTGGCGGCCTTGAATCGTTTCCTTACAAAGCTGGCAGAGAAGGCGCACCCATTCTTTACCGTAATCAAGAAGAGGATGGGGCTCAACATCCGGTCTACTACGTCAGCAAGACCTTGAGAGACGCGGAGTTAAGATATTATCGTCCGGAAAAGGCCATGTTAGCGGTTTTCTGGACGGCGAAGAGATTAACCCCGTACTTTCAAGCTCACCGGATTGTAGTGCTCACCAATGAGCCATTGGCATCACTCACCCGGAGTCCAGCGGCATCTGCTCGGATGACCAAGTGGGCGGTCTTCATCAGTCAGTACAATGTAGAGTTCAGGCCGCGTCCATCAATCAAAGGGCAGGCACTCGCCGACTTTCAGGTTGAGTGTACCGCTAGGGAGATGATAAGAGCCCAGGCCGCGACTTGTGTGGAAGACGACTGGTGGGTGATGAGTATAGATGAATCATCTAGGTCTCGATCTTGCGGAGTAGGTATTGTCTTGATCACTCCGGAAAATTTCCGGATATATTATGCTATCAGATTTCAGTTCCGCGTATCCAACAATGAAGCCGAATATGAGGGCCTGATCAATGGACTAAGAATTCTCGGCAAGCTAGGAGTATCCAGAGTTCAGGTATACAGCGACTCCCGCTTGATTGTAGGACAAATCACTGGGGAGTTTGAGGCAAAGGAAGAAAGGATGAAGAGATATCGAGATTTGTCCTTGGAAATGTTGGGAAGGTTCGAGTTTAAACCTGAACACATACCCCGGGCGCAAAACGCGGAAGCTGATGTTCTGTCCAAACTCAGCGCAGAATCACCAAAATATATAAGTAAATTAGCAACGGTCGAGGAACTGGCCACCCCGAGTCTTAACAGGGATGAATTGCTCTGGGTGTCGGCTGATCCCCCAGAGTGGTTGGACAGGCTGGCGAAATACATTGAGGATGGTATAACCCCGGAGGACCCCCAGGAAGCTCGTTTACTGCGAATGAGGGCACCCACCTACAAGGTGCAGGATGGAATCCTTTATAAGCGGTCTTACAACGGTGTTTTACTCCGTTGTCTCAGGGCAGCAGAGGCAAAGGCGCTTATGGAAGAGATACACGAAGGAGTATGTGCTGCACATCAGGGTCTGTACTCTATCTCTAGAAGGGCGATTATCCAGGGATATTTTTGGCCCACAATGAGGAAGGACTGCGAGGAGTATGTGCGCAAGTGCCCAACCAGTCAACAATTCCAGAATATGCCCGGGAGGCCAGCCACGAACTACACGCCCATCAGCTCTGTGATTCCCTTCTCAAGATGGGGAATTGATATTATGGGAGCCCTGCGAAAAGGGGTTGGACAGGCAAGGTGGATAGTGGTGGCCATTGACTACTTTACCAAGTGGGTGGAAGCTGAACCACTTGCCGAGATAACCGGGAGACAAATGATTGACTTCGTAGGAACCAACATACTTTGTAGGTTTGGGGTCCCGAAGCAGATCATATCCGACAATGGAACTCAGTTTGAGGAGGCAGAATTCCAAGACTTCCTCAAAACTTGGGGAATTTAGCATACAAAAGTGTCTGTAGCCTACCCTCAGGCTAATGGACAGGTGGAGAACGTCAACAGAACAATCATAAGTGGAATAAAAAAGAAGCTGCTGTCAGAAGGAAGCAAATGGGTGGATGAACTACCCAGAATCCTGTGGACGTACAGAACAACTCCAAGGAGGGCTACGGGCGACACTCCCTTTGGCTTAGCCTATTGTTTCGAAGCCTGGGCTCCCATTGGGACGGTGATCCCTACCAGGATAGAAATGGAATACGACCCGGAAGTAAACGAACAGAATCAGGCCGTAGAGCTGAACTTCATAGAAGAACGAAGAGATGAAGCGCGAATCCGGGCAGAGAATTATCGTCGCCAGGTGAAATCTTACTTTGACAGTAAGGTGAAATCGAGGGCGTTCCAAGTGGGGGATTACGTCCTGAGTAAGCGAGAGAAGAGTCAACCAAATAAGGGTGGGAAGCTGGCTAAAAAATATGAAGGACCTTATATCATCAAGGCTATCGTCCGCCCACGTACCTATAAGTTGATAACTCCAAAAGGAAAGGAAATTCATAGGACGTGGAATGTAGAGCACTTGGTAATATTTTATCAGTAAAATTATTTTGTAAAGTGTTCTACTTTTGTTTAAGGCATTTATTTTAATGAAGAATTTCTTTCCTCTAAAGCCAAGTGTCTTTGCAATTCCATTGTTCTTTAGATTTTTTTTTAAAAAGGGGGGGAGAACACCCTCGGGCGAAATAGACCCAAGTACAGGGAGGTAGATAAGTTTATGCCACCTGCTAAAGATAGGGGAGGTAGATAAGTTTATGCCCCCCGGAGGTAGATAAGTTTATGCCTCCGTAAACTATGAAGGAAGGGCTGGGATTGGACTTTAAGGGCCTTTACAACCTGGAATTCAGGAAGAACAGCAAACAGACTTTGAGGGCTGAAGCTTAGTATTCCACCAGCACAGATCAATCGAGCAAACAAACTTCGAGGGTTGGCGTTCAACTGATCCAAGGTAGATAAGATTATGCCTTAACCCGGAGGAATGGAGGTCAGGGGAAGATGAGGTAAGCTCCCATGGCACGTCCAAACCCCGGGATATGAGATTTTATACAAAGAATTAAACATGTTTGTACTTGCATTAGATGATGTGCAAAGAAATAAACATAAAGGACTATATTGATGGGCCAAAACTTACACCTTTGGTTCACAATAATGGTTCCTAATGAGACGAGAGAAACCAGAGGTTAGGGAAGTTCATCGATTGTTAATTCGAAGGTTGTATCTTTGAATTACAACGATAATTCCTAATCTGAAATTAAAGGACATTCCTTGGTATGGGACGTGGGAAAAACTCCCGGTCCAGACAAGTGAATGCCTCTTGAAATGAAACAAGAAAAAGAAAACTGATTTGCAGGGGGCTAGGCGCTGAAGGAGGGCCAATTGCACCCATGCAGTCAAAAAGAAGGAGGTGGGGGCCCTCTCCATGGGCTCCTTCTCTCTGGCGAAGGACACACGGCGGAATCATCAGTCTCGCCCAGGTCATAGTCTTCCCACGTCCCAGGTCGGGGCGCAGGTGGCGCAGATGGTGAACCGTCATTAGGAGACCTTGGCAGGGTTAGAGGAGTTATCCGGCTTTCACGCAAAAGTTCTACCTCTGCGGGCAGAAAAGAACGCCCAAGTCTAGCCTTGTGCATCCTTTGGTACAAGGCGAAGTCTTGGAGGGTCATAGAGTCCCAATCTATCCTCCTGGAAGGGAGCCGGGGTGGACTGGGAGGTGAGGGCGCAGGAAGACGGAGTGCCGGATATAGCCTTGAGAATTCGCCGGGATTCAGCCCAGCCATGTCATTGGACTGAGCGGGAGAGTCAGGAAAATCATCATCTGAGGATGAAGAAGTTCCAGAAAGGGTTAGGTCGATGAAAACCTTACCCTGAGCTTTGTTTGCCATGGCGAAGAAGTCAGAAAGGAATGAACAAGCAGAAAACCATCCTTCCCCATTTATAGTGAAAGGGGAAAGGATAGTTGGGAAGTAATGAATATGGTTAAAATATGCGGAAGACTAGGTGATTGGCGAATGGAGTGGTGGAAGATTCCTAATGTTTGACCAGGATTCCGCCACTTAAGTGCATGGGCCAGTTGGGTCGGCCCATCCGTACTCTGGGAAAAACGTCGTCCTTGAATGGTAAAAAGTTGAACCGATATAAACTTCTACTTGATCCAAACGATGGCACATAAGGTATGATAAATGACAGGAGATAAAGACTTTCATTAAGTAACTCAAATAAAAAATTACATTCTTTTGGGTTACAACAATGGACCTTATCCTTGATCTAACAATAAAACATTAAAGAGACGGGAGATAAAGATTTTCATTAAATAACTCAAGTAGAAAATTACATTCTTTTGGGTTACAACAATGAACTTTGTCCCTGATCTACTTTTATCCTACTACTAAAAAAGAAAATATGAAGGTGAAACGGCACTTCAAGGGTCCAGGAGGAACAGTGTGGCAGAGGGAGCGAATCCGCTGACCCTTGTTGCCCCGCCTGGACTAGAGAGAACGCCGGAGCGGGAAGGTGTGGAGAGGACCCATCATCCTCCTGATGCATCCTTCAAAAGAAACGGAAAACGAAAGGGTACCAACGGGTGGGATTGAAAACCATTCCCCGTGGACGCCCTTCAGTCACTTCCATGAAGGTGGACAAGGAGAACGATGAGACATGAGAGGAGGATTTACGGCATCATTCCGCCTAAGACAAAGGGGGGGGGGCGGATCCTGGAAGGTTCCGTCCTTTTCCCTCCAGGTAGACGGACGCCTGTTTCCTCCCATGTCATAATCCCCCCACTCCTCAGGGTGCTGTCCATATGACTGCTGAGGAGAGGGAGAACCTTGGGAGGAAGGCCTCGCACCGGAGACCAACCGGGTAGCTTCTGGGCGAGGATTGCGTCTCTTCTGGGGGCGGGATGTACCGGGATGGCCGGAGGAGGTTCCCGTCTTGGTACCGCCAGGAAGCGCGCCGGAATCCGGGAGAATGTCCCCTGATGTTCGCTGGGGGAAACAGGGAGGGTTCTCCCCCGGGGGCAGGGGGGAAGTCACCGATTGTTCGGAAGCGGAGGAAGGCCCAGAAGGGAATTCAGGTGTTGGAGCTCCAAGCGAGGGAAATGCCAAGGAAGAAGAATCAGAAGAGGAATCAGAGATAGTTAGATCAATAAAGACAACTCTATTGGCATTATTAGCCATGTTGAGAAGTTGGCTGTGATAATGGAAGTGTTTTGCCTAGTTCCTTAAATAGGCGAGTAATCCTAAAGGAGAAGTGCAAGGGACGCGGAGTCAAAGCACTTATCCGATTAGGAAGCAGTTGCGGATTCCCGAGGAAAGCTAGGGTTGTGCCATTTCATTATTGGGCTAAGGTGAATTGGGCCCGGCGTAATTAAGGTGGGCCAGTCACTTAGCGCAATGATAAAGGAAAAACAGCACTTTATAAGCATGGTTAAGCCCAAAACTGAAGCGGATAAAATTCTGCTAAGTCCTAGAGAGAGATAAGAATCCCAAAAGGAGAAACAGTTTGCCCAAAGGAAGGAGTCTACAGAAACGTGGATATGAAAGAGATAATGACAAAGGACAAAATGTTACAAGCGTTGTCAAGTTGCTACCATGTAGATGTTACGAAGTAAAATACAACAGCTATTGAAGAAAAAGAAAGTCAAGGCCCCGGGTCAGTACAAGAATCTGGGGGAGCAAGAGGAAGAGGCAGGCCATAGTAAGAGATGAAGTCATCCAAGGATCGATGTTCCGGGAGACCGCTCTGGATCGCCCCATAGATGCAGTATTACATATCAAACTTCCCTTCTTCGTAGAGGGCCTCAGCGCAGGTGGTCAGTGCAGCCACCTCCCCTTGATGAGCAGCTATTGTCTTTTCAAGTTCGCCCATCCTTGACCGGAGCTCGCTGGCAGTCTGTCTCTCTTTCTCCAACTTCCTAAGGATAAGCCGTTTCGCCTCTATGTGTTTTATCACGAGGTCGTTAAGATGGGCGCCCTCTTGCTTGGCGTCATGGAGGGAATTCTCTAGCTCAGAGATCCGGGACTCCCTGTCAACCAACTCAGTCTTTAGACTCCCTACCTTGTCTTCTAAAGCTGAGACCTTTGACTCTAGGATGGAGATTTGCGCCCGGAGTCTGTCAAACTGCGTTTCTAGATCCTGGGTCCCCCTTTGGTAAGTAGCAATCTGCTCTTGCAGGGACTTGACCCTAGACCTTTCCGCTGCTAGTTCCATTGAGCCATCTGCCTTGAGCCGGGCATTCTCTTCTTGGAGGACCTGGACTTGTTCCAGGGTGTCAACTTTCTACTGCAGAGCCCTGACAGCCAACTCCTTCTCCTTCAGGACCACCACGGCTTGGTAGTTCCCTGATGCTCCACCAAGTACTCCTTAGTCACGGTGAGGAGTGATTGTTGGGCCTGGGAAGGGGAAGGGAAGTCAAGAAAGAGATAACTAAAAAGAGATAAAGAGATTCTTGAAAAGGAAGAGTACATGCTCCATGAAGTGCAAAGCATTGAGGGCAAGCAAGTCGGGGCGTGCCTGGGGAATTGCAGGCCCCTGCACTGATTCCCTCATCTTTTCTAGATTTGCCTGGATAGTCCACTGGGAGGCCTGTAAGGAGTTCAAACGGCGGGAAAAGCCTGCCCAACCCTCCCTAAAGGCAGGGTAGGTTTGCGGCGTGAACTTGCACGGATGGGGAAATTGAAGGCTGGGGGTGTGACAGTGGGATGCTGTTTTTCTGGTTCCTGTTGTTTCTCAGTCTCTCTCTCTGTCTCTGGAGGAGCCTCAGCACCTTTTTGCTCTTCAGCTTCTTACTCCATCGTGGAGGAGGCATCCAATTCTTTCTGCACTTCAACCTCTCTCTCTCTCTCTCTCTCGTAGGAGAAGTCTCCGGTTCTTTCTGCCTGTCAGCTTCTCCCTCTACCCCTTGGGAAATGGTTGCGCCTAGTGGAAAGGTATTGATCACCTCAGGCTGAGGCTGCATTGCAGGTCTTTTGAGTGCTGACTGGTCCAGAAGTTCATCCCCCTCACGATCTAAGCTATCCGGGTTGGGTAACTCCAAACCTCCGGATGTGGCAGCAGGGGCGGTACTCTGGGTACCAGAAGATGTGGTCAGGGGGCTGGGCGAAGTGGGAGTACCCTCACACTTGTTCTTCTTGGGAAAGAAGTCATCATCAGTGACTCCTTCCCGTGGCCGTTTCTAGGACAAGGTGGGCTTTCTCAGCCCGGGAATAGCAGAGATGGGGACAGCCTCAAGGGCAACGGCCGGCTGGCGAATAGCCAAGGCAGTGGAGTTATCTTGGGCCTGGTTCCCGGAAGAGATCTCGGCTGGATTGGATTCCACAGCAGGAGGAGCCTTTGACCTTTCAGGGGGAGACACCCCTTCAAATGGGATGGGGTCAGGACCCAGGGGGTAGTAAAGATCTGCCTTCTTGTATAACCTTACGTCTTGAAGGGAGTGATGTGGAATCAAACCCCCTTCCTCTCTCAAGGCGTAGTATGCTGCCTCCGCCAAGGGTACTGCAGCGAACTTTGTCCGAGAAATAGAACTATGGAGAACGACACCCGGCAGATCTAAGGGGCTGTGAACCGAGAACTCAATGACGAAGTAGAGGTGGGACCATTTGTCGTGTTTAAACTCAACCCTCTCAAAGATTGGAGCATGGGGATGAGGAAATAGGCTGTAATAAGGGAAAGGCCCACCAATACTGAAGAGGATGAGGATTTCGTCCAGTGTTGGGGTTTTGTCCAGGGCACAGCACCGCAAGATATAGGACGCAACATACTTGTGCGCATTGGCGGTCAACTGGCCAGGAGCAAATCCGAAATGGCGGCAGATGTCGCGGAGCAGACCATGGAGGGGTAATCTGAACCCATTCTCCACAGAGTGATAGTGCATGACCATATACTTCTGAGGGTTTGGGTTGTGGGATAAACTAATTCCTCCGACAGCGTTGGGATGGTGGACCCGGAAACCTTTGCCCAGAAGTACGGCAACTTCTCGAAGTTCATCCTCCTTGATGATAGGGGATTCATGGGTCCAGGTTGTGGGATCTACAGGAGCCATTTCGGAGGAGGGAGCGAGAATTTGGGGGAAATTGCAATCGGAATTCGGGTCGGGTTGAAATTCGATAGCGAAGGAGGAAGAAGGCGAGTCTAGAAGGGGTTATATCCGTTGAAAGGAGGGATCCAAGGCACTCGAGTGCGACGTTTCTAATCCGAGACGAAAACCGAAGGCGGCTCATCATTTAGTTTTCTAGCGACACGTCGCCAGAAAACTAGGGGGCTTGTGATGGATATCGGCTCTGATGGACCCGACTCCAGGCCCAATAAAGGCCCATAATAGCGCAAGATGGATAAGGTCAGGTGGGGGTAACGGGCCGAGCCCGCTACTACACGCATGGCGAATGGGAGAAGAACGGCCCAATCATGGATTAAATCAAGACGACCCAGTCCAAAGAAGGAATGGGACACGTGGCCCACACCACCAGATTATGGACGAGATGGGAAGAGAACGAGACCGGAAAAGAGGGAATCACAACCCCATGATCTCCATGATTCCTCTCATTATGTATAATTTTAATTATAATGTTAGAAGTACTATAAAAGGGGAAAGAACCCGCCATTGTAAAGGGAGGGGACACTCAAGCAATTCTGCACTTAATCAAATAATATTATTACGAGATTATATCTTTCTGATTCATATTACGTTCTTGGTCCGCCATCTGATAGGGTTAATCCCATCAATAAATAAAATAAAAATGACCATATTCATTACCTCCATTATGAGGTTAATGAATGGGAAGAGAGTTAATTTTTTTCCCTTGTGTTAGGTTTAATTTTAGAGGGGAAAACCAATAGTTTTCTTCGTTCGTTTATTTAATTACATGTCCGACTTCCACAGTTTTGATTATTAAATATTTTTGGAAAAATATAAAATTTATACCGTTAAATTCCATATTTTTTCACACATCATTTTAACATAATTTGTTTGTCAAGAAAATGACTCACTTTATCAGAATAATTTTATTTAGGTAGTAGAGAGGATCGAAGTTCACTTTACTACTTTTATTTATCTTCTCTATTAAATCAATCATTAAATCTTAACTCTTAATTTTTTTCCAAAGAATAGTAACATATTACTTTATTATATTTTTTTAAAACATAAATTTATTATTATATTTTTTTTCTTTGTACTAGAAAGTTAAAATTTCTAGATCGGTTTTCAGGGCGTTTCAGGGCGTTACAAGTATGTATGTATGTATGTATCTATATATATATATATATATATATATATATATATATATATATATATATATATATATATATATATATATATATATATATATATATATATATATATATATATATATATAAACGAAATTTTTATTCAAATTAGAAAAAAGAAAAGAAAAGGTACAAGGGAGGGGAGGACTAGGCCAATGTGTGTGTGTGTGGTGAGAACTATATATTGTTGGAGTTGGTGCCCTTATGGCCAACTGCTGTTGTAATATCTTAGAGATTTTCTATCATGTAAAGGGAGATGTAATAAGTTTACAAACATATCATGCTAAAACAAACTCTTAATTGCATTCCTAGAATTATATTATAAGATGTTTATCAGAATGAGTCTTCCGATGTTGAGACTAACATCTTGTCACTTAGTATGATTCTAAACGGTCTATAGTCGAAGCATTAACGAGAGTGAGATATCTTCAGTGCGCGTGAGACTAGTGAGAGTTAGATGTTTGACCTAGTCTCTTGGTCAATGACGGAGTGTTCACATCTACTCTCGGGCAGATATTATCGTTAATAATAGGATGCCAGACCCACCTTAAGGACATTGCCTAGACTTTTAGTCTATGCTCTAAGTGTCCTTAATGCGACTATTAGTATAACGATCCATAGACTTGAAGTATTACATTCTTCGAATGCGTGAACCCGCATGCTTTAATTCATTGTCCTAAGCCGTATGAAATAAGGATGGTACACAGGCTTTGTATTGGGCATGCCGCTGCACGTATTCGACGACATAGATTACATACAAAGAATTTGTCACTGCTACTCAAGCAGAATAATGTCTTGTAGGGGCCCACTGATAAGTATGACAGAGGAAATGCATGGCCATGCTGAGATGAGTTTAGACATCTGTTCTCATCCGTCAGACTTGTTAATCAGTAAATAACTTAATGGCTACAAGTTGGCTATTTTATACTCCCTCCGTCCCGTGAAACCTTTCCCCTTTCTTTTTTTATCCGTCCCACAAAACACTTTTCATTTCTATTAAAAAGTCACTTTTACCCCTTACTTTTTCATACCCTAACTATCACATCATACCTTTTTACTAATAATCTATCCATCAAATCGTACTTTTACCCATCACATCAAAGGACATTTTTGGAAATTCAATACCAAAATACACTCCATTAAATCCCTCCTAAAAAGCAAATGTCCCATGTTTCACGGGACGGAGGTAGTATATCCCTTGCACTAAGTTAATACATTGGGACAAAAGGATCTACGTTATACAAAGTCTTAGTCGTAGAAAGGTTTTGACGGAGCAAACGCCTGAACTTATAATCTGGGGTAGTAATGTGTTGCTAGATACCGCTTATTACTTATATTATTGGTGTAGAGTCAATGCTATGGCCAATTTTACAATGTATATATATTATACATTGTACACAACACTCACATTTACATCAAACATGTAAAATGTACGTGTGTAGATAGTCAAGCCGTGTACATATATGTATATATATTACATTATATATTATATTGTGTACATTTTATTTTGGAGTGTCATTTTAATTATGAAAATAATTATTTTGACAAAAACTATTTTAAAGTATATTTTATATACTTGTTTTAAAATGTTTTGAGTATTTTATTTTATATCATAAACATTATCGATGTCAAATAAAATACACTTTGAACATTTGAGAGGAGAAGAATTCAATTCTTCCCCCTTTTCTTTTCGTACATAACCTTGTGTGTGTGGGGACTTTGTCTCCCACTACACCTCATAACATTTGTACTTGTGGAACCTAGCTTTTGAAATGGGTTTTATGCTTATTCCTTTTAATGATTATAAAATAATTTCACCTCTCCATTTTTTGGGAGAAGCCATTTTCGGCCAAGTGAGGAGCAAGAGAGATAATCTTATTTTGGGTTCCAAATTTACTATTTTGGGTGTAGAAAATTGATTGATATTTTCTTTAAAATATTATTGATATATTTTCTAGTATTTAATATACAAGATTAATATTATCCCAAAATAATCTTTATATATTAATATACTACTTTAACACTTGCTAGCACAAGTGTTAGGGTAGACTCCGGAGATTGTTCGTGTGTAAAAGTTGGAGGTCGGACACTTGAACGGCTACACTTGCTCCTTCAACGCCTTTGCTCGACTTCACGTTCATACCGCTTTACCGGAGAAGGTATAAGTTTCTATCTCTAGCTATAGTTTTAGTACGTGTTCTTGGGATAGTAATCACTATTAGGAGATTAATTTTTTGTATTTCCGCTGCCCTCCCAACCGTGGTTACCTTTCAGTGGTATCGGAGCCAACGTACAAAACTATAGTTTTTCGCAAAACTTTTTCGGTTGGAAATTATTTTTAACTTGGTAATTATTTGTTAATCTCGAAAATTAGTAAAATGATTTGTTTTAGTCTTGGAATAAATATTGGACTTAAATAAATAATTAAAATATATATTCATTATTTATTTGTGCCGAAAATATGTATTTTATACATATATTCGGAAATTTCGAATATATATTAATATAGATATCTCAAAATTGTTAATATAATTTTATTGAACATAAAATTTCATTTTATGGTTAGTAAAATTATATTTTAATTTTCAAAATTGTTTATTTCCAATTTTTGAGTTAATTTTATTTGTTTAGATTTAATTCCAATAAATCTTAAATAAATATTGGAAACTCAAAAATGAAATTTATTAAACTTGGAAATATATATATATTAATTGAAAATGGCTAATATCATTTTGGAAAATTATATCTCAGTAAAAGGTAAGTTGATTTTTCTAAATATTAAATTTTATAATTTAATGATTTTTGAAAAATGATTTAAAATTATTTTTCCAATTTTTGAGATATAATTAATATATTTGGGAAATAAATATTTATAAAGTCTGGAAATTTATTTCTCCGATTTATAAATGTATAAAATAGTTACTGGAAGTTGGAAATTAATTTTCATGCTTTTTGCAAATTTATTTCAAATTTAAAATGAATTTTGGAATAAACATTGCACTAGGGGCATTTTCGTAATTTTGTATCTATTGGAATTTTCTTTTCCGTTTTTGACCCTGGACGAAAGTTACCTAATGTATTTAGGATGCCTTGGTAAAATTTCATAATTTTTGGACCACTTTATGAATTTTTATGAATTTCAGAAAATATTACCAACGTAGTATTTTTCCAGGAGGAAACGTTCTCCGTTAGTTGCCTCCTTTAGTTGCTTTCATTTTCATTTTCTTCACCTTCCGATGATTCGTCGCCGGAATCACCTCCCCACGAGATGTAAGCTCGGTGCTTCTTGAACGGTTTCTTCTCCCAACGGTTGTCTTTGGCGATAATAGCAAAGGCAAAATAATCGGCATTGGTTCGGTTGGTAAAAACGAAACCTCCTCCATTGATAATGTTTTGTTGGTTAAGGGTCTTAAACACAATCTCTTGAGCATAAGTCAATTGTGTGACAAGGGAAATCGTGTGACCTTCGATTCTAAATCATGTACGGTAGAACGTCTTAGTGACAATAAGACGATTCTTCGTGGTGATAGAATTGATAATATTTACATGGTTAACTTAGATGAATATCCCTCCGACTTTGCCAAGTGTCTCATGAGTAAGGAGGACGATATGTGGCTATGGCATCGTAGAGTAGCTCATGTCAACATGAACCTTTTGAATAAATTGGTTTCACAAGACTTAGTAGTTGGTCTTCCGAAACTCAAGTTTGAGAAGGACACCATTTGTGATTCATGTCAAAAGGGCAAACAAGTAAGGGCCTCATTTAAATCAAAAAATGTTGTGTCTACAACAAGGCCCCTACAACTTTTGCACATGGATCTCTTTGGACCATCAAGAACAAAAAGTTTTGGGGGAAACTATTTCGCCTTTGTGATCGTTGATG